ACATCCTCCCTAATCTCCGAAGTTAGCTTCCCTAACAAATCTGCTAAATCTTCATTGTCATCTGCATGGTACTCGAGTTCATCTTCTGTAACAGCCCAACCCTCTGTAAAGTTAAGCCGTTGCTGCTTGAGCGAAAATTTCAACATTTGAAGTGCCTCCATTAGAACAGGGTGAATTCAATTTTGCCTCTTTGTATCAGTTTCGGCACTGGATGATAAAACGCGCTCAGAAGGAACCGAGGATGCTTGAATGGGTAAGTAATCTAATGCCATCGCGTACAATATTTGATGGGTTTCCTCGCTTATCTGCAAACAAATCAGTGACACAGATTGGAAAATAGTGAGACATTGTACGTACTGCCCAAAACCCTATAATATCCGTGCCACGCAGTGAGACCGTCCCATTTCCATACAACTCAAACTGTTCTTCAACTCCTTGGCCCGACGGCGAAGGAGCGCCCGAAACCTCCAACATATCTTCGAGCCCATATCGTCGCCTCTGTTGCTGTGAGTCCGTACTAGATGTAGGTTGTTGAGCTTGTCCATGAAGACAGTCATGGTATTTTCGCATCTGCAACAAGTATATTAAGGGTACTGTCACCATAACAAACTGAGCGACTTACAGTATTCTTGATAATTATGATGGCCCTGGCAACATAATTAGGCTCCCAGTGTCGTCGAATCCATGACAATCGTATCGAGGGATTGAGAACTGGCCATGTGAAGTTATTAAATAATGTATGAATCTGAACCTTAACTCACACATCGCGATAACGTAGGCAGGCGAATCATCCATTTTCTTGTAGTAAGTTGTCGCCCACTGGATACCGATATCCGTCCATCAGGCCAAGCGGGGGTGATCTCTCCCAAGTTGCTCCCATGCCGTCATGAACATTTCGAAGGTGGTAATTGCGCCTGATAACACGGGAGTGCACTCTTTCGACATGAGTGTCTGTACTTGATGAGGTACCTAAGAGAAAGACTTAGCCTCGAACAGGTATCAATATTAGAGATGTACACCCAGTACGATCTCAAAATCCTGGAGTACAGCCCATTCCATATCAGTAAGTCTAAGTTTCACAAGATCTCTATTGATGGGG